CCCCAAAACCCCAAAACCCCAAAACCCCAAAACCCCTTCTTAAGATCTTTATTGAAATCTAAGAAATAAATTCCTTGTGGTGACTATCTACTACATTCAGTCTATCTGTTTCAGGATTTCTTTCTAAGTAAATGAATGTGGCCAGGAACTTCGCTTTGTAGGAATCTGTGCTTGTCTGAGCCTGGACTACCTCACCTGTTTTTTTGATAAAGCAGACCAACTTGGAAGTGCTTTGGTTCTCATCATGAGTTTCTAGTAACGATTTTTCTATACGATACATAAAATTAAAATGAAGCTTTATGGATTAGATGGGATTCAAGAAATTTTTCATCTAAAATTATTCCAAATCTTAAGAAAATGGTCTTACCTTCAAGTGTTGTAAAGAATATTTCGTTCATTTTGAAGTTACTTGCAGTAATCGGATTTGTATCAAACTTGAAGCCATATCTATTCTCTCTCACTGGCTCAAGCTCCATTTCGAGGCTCTTTTCGTCAGTGAAATTTTTCTTAAGAAGGGCTTCTAAAAATGTCTGCATGTTCCTTTTCATATATGATGATTTGATGGTCTGAGAGTATCCTTTAGCTTTGATGTAAACAATTTGTAAGTTGTACTTATTTGCGAAGATTATTTAGCTTTTCAAAACAAGTGTCCATAATAGCCTTCTCGAAGGTGCCAGATGCTTTCCTCATTGGGTTCTTTTTAGGCATTTGTGCATTTGATTCGAAGAAATTTTCAGGATTAGTTGACCTGTTGTATCTTCTAGCAGTTTCATAAGGAGGATCTGAGTATTTGAGGTGATGTAGACCATCAATTAAGACTAGCTTCACTTCTCTTTTATTTTCTGATAAATCCTGGTAGAGACTTGATTACCATACTGAATTCTAAACAACTGAAAACTTTGATAATATATAAATTCTCTCAACAAGAATGGATAAACTCAGGAAGATCTTCTGCTAATTTCCGGTCAATCAATTCTTTTGTCATACCCGCTAAATACAACATTAACTTCAAATCACAAACTCCCTTCCCAACTCTCTATTATCTCCCTTCCAAGTCTTTTAACTTACTTTCATATTTACTAAAAACAAGTTTGGCTATCCACATATAATGGCTGGTAAGAGCCTGCCTGAATTTTTCAGTAGAGAATTCGCCCATGATGTCGATCAGGATTACCTGAGGGCTTATAGAGGAGTCTTCGAAATTTTCTTTAGTGACTGCGTACGAAGGTATTCCTAAAAGTGGCATGAAGAGGGTTTAGGAGTTGGATATTACCGTTGTCTAAGAGGTCAGGAAGGTAATCGGAGAAGGTAGACCATTTGTAGATTGGTAGTTGCTGGAGGACCAGGTCTAGTAGGAAGTCGGATTTGAAGCTCTTGTCGGCGAATGTTAATAGGATCTGCTTGTTGGTCTCTGGAAATAGAGAGAAGCTTACCTTCGTATGATTGAAGATAGATCTCATTGATTACTAGATGCATGTTAGAAGAGGAATGGAAGATGTAGATGAGTTATGTTGATATTACCTTTATGAGGACATTTTAGCTCAAATGGTACTGTAGATACCATAAAATCAAAGAATGACTCATCAGGCTCCAATCTATTTAACTTTCTTTTCAGACTTAGCATCTTTTCTTCTTCTTTATTCTTTCTTTCTTGCTCTACAAAAAATTCCCGCAAATTTCTCCTTCTCCCTTCCAACCCCTAACCCTCTCCAACCCTCTCCAACCCTCTCTCCACCCCTCAACCCCCTCTTCCCCCACCCGAATCCCTTCTCCTACGCTTCGTTATACTCGAATACCTCGACCTCTTTCCAAAATAAATATCACCACCCACCATTTCTCTTTCAAAATCTAATAAAATTCTACAAATCCCCCAAAAATCGGGGTTTTGGGGTTTTGGGGTTTTGGGGTTTTGGGG